GAGGCTCCGGCACAGGACCGAGTACAATGGAAAACCTGGTCGCGGCAGCAGCATGTTGCCTCAGTCGAGAGGATTTCGAGGTGATGGGGATTTAGGGTTTCGGGGCTGCAAGGATGACATGTTGGATTTTTTCGCCGCGGGCATTGGGTCTTTGATGTACCAGAAAACCCCGGAAGTATTGTAACATCTTGTAGGAAGGAGCACCGAGCAAGCACGACTAGTGCCGAGATTCTCGATACTTTAGGCCGGGCAAGAGCACACTGTTGTTCCAACGTTTTGGCTGTTACGGTACACCCAGCTTTCTAGAGCAGCCCAATTCCCAGTCCCACTGCCTCGGAATAGACCTAGCCACAGGGTTTTGAACCCTGGCACAAAGTCCATGCATCTCAAGCCGACTGAGGCCCCTACCCTGAAGCCCCAAAACCGAAGCTCAGTCCCCAAGTACGATTGGAAGTCAGAAGACTGGTTTAGAGAACATTGGGATTTGATTCCTAAACCCTAAAGCCTAAACCCTAAACTGACGGTCCTTCATGTGGCAGTCGTTTCATCCCTGACCACACACTGGCCATAGGAGAGGGGCAATTTTCGGCTAGAGGGTTTAGGTTTAGGGTTTAGGGCTTAGGGTTTAGGGTTTAGGATCTGAGCATAAGGAAGTCTGTTCCAGTAACAAGCGACCTTTAGAGCCCATAGAAAGACCTCCGCTTGACTCGCCTCTCGTCCAGCACCAGTTGCTGAAACCCCTTTCGCCTCCGCTCACCTGCCCTGAACTTCATGCAACCGGACTGGGAATCAGCCTGGCAGGCAACGAGCCCCAAACCTGAACCCAAAATTCCGATCCCCAAAACCAGTCCTCAACAGCGACACCAATGTCACCCGATAAACGGAAGTCAAACTCCCAGGTTCAAATCTCAAAGCTCATAAAGCCATTCCAGGATCCCCTTTACAACACCTTTCTAAAGCCCGTTTACAAAAAAAGCCACACTGTATACTCTAGACCCCACAAAACCTACCCCAAACCCTGAACCTTAAACCCTAAACCCTAAAGCCCTAAAGCCCTCAACCCCTAAACCCTGAAACCCTAAAACCCCCAAAACAAAACCAAAAACCCTAAAACCCTAAACCCCAAACAACACACAAAAAACCCTAAACCCTAAAACCCTAAAAAATCCAAAACACCACCGAAAAACCCTAAACCCCTAAAAAACCCAAAACCACAAACAAAAAAAAAAACACTAAAAAACCCTAGAAAAACCCGAATGCCTCTTGCGCGCCGAGGCTCTGCCTGGTGCGGCCAAGGCGGCGATGCAGTGCGAAAGTGCCTCGCTGGGCTAGGGTTTGACGGTTTGAGGGATTTAGGAATTTGGGGTTTAGGGTTTTAGGAATTTAGGGTTTAGGGTTTAGGGTTTAGGGTTTTAGGAATTTAGGTTTTAGGGTTTAGGGATTTAGGGTTTAGGGTGTTAGGGTGTTTGGGTTTAGGGCTTAGGGGTTTGAGGGCTTGAGGGTTTTAGGGTTTTGGGGTTTAGGCTTTAGGGTTTAGGGATTTAGGGATTAGGGTGTTAGGGTTTAGGGTTTTACGGATTAGGTTTTAGGGTTTAGGGTTTGAGGGTTAAGGTTTCAGGGTTTAGGGTTTTAGGGTTCATCGTTAAGGGTTTAGGGTTTTAGGGATTGGGGTTGTAGGGTTTAGGGTTCAGGGTTTAGGGTTTTATGGTTTTTTTGCCTCCTACTTTGCAAGGACAATGGTTTAGGGTTTAGGGTTTTAGGGTTTAAGTTGTAGGGTTTAGGAAGGCCTCCGGGAGTGGATTCCCCTTTAGGGGTCCCGGGTTTAGGGATTTAGGGATTTATAGGGTTTAGGGATTTGGGGTTTAGGGTTTAGGGCCTCCGGGAGTTGCTTCCCTTCTCAGTTGCTGAGTTGAAGTTCATAAGCCCCCGAAAAGTGTGCACTTTCAGTTCTTGAGGGGGTAATGTCATCACCCAAATGCAAAGTGTACTCATTCAGCTGCTAAGCCTTTAATTTGCGTCATGCACGTATCATAATCGTAACGTAAGCCAAGTAAGCCCACTACTTTATATAGTTTGCGGAAACTTTGCAATTCGTTGACTCCGATCTGAAGCCGAGGCCCTTAACTACGGATTCTACCTATAGTCTCCATTGTAGTTCCTTTTTTGGTTTAACCACTTATATATATATATATATATATTAAGGATTTTACAATAAGGTATCCCCAACAAGGAACTACAATGGAGACTATAGGTACCTTAAATCATAAGATCAAGACCCTCACTGATGAAGGTGTATTCCTGAGCGTTCCTCGCTGGAAAGCCTCAGGGCCCCTGGTATAGGGCTTAGAGGGTTTACAGGCTTTTGGGTTTACAGGGCTTAGGCGTGCCTCACCGGACAGCCTCTAAGCGCCGATACAGGGCATTTAGGGTGAAGAGGGTGGGGTTTTGGGTTTAGGGATATTTTGGGGTCTGATAATCTTGCGGTTTAGGGCTGAGGGCTGGCTCATTGGGGTTCCTTAATATCGTCCTATAGTAGAACATCCCCCCCAGAGCCCCGCTCTAATCCGGCTGTGTAGGGGTTCCTATAAGAAAGGGCTGTGAACGACCTTTGCTGAGGTCTTCTAAGAAGACCTGGTAGTGGGTCATGGGCAGCAACAGAAGGCTTGATCTAGGCTTCGGTGTTGATGGCTACTCAGATACTGCAGCATTTTCTACGGGCACAGAATATTGCAGTAGGGTCTCGAGCAATGCTTTGCTACCATCGAAATAAACCGGACAGTAACCTAGTATCTTGTCAAAGCGGTCCTGTCAATAACGTAGCAACCGTTCTTAACGATCCATAGGAACACATGAGCAACAACATTTTAAGGTTCAGATACCCAATAACATAACCCTCTCCGAACACAGACCAACATAGCGAGGATATCCCACGCAGCATGTGTGGCATGCTCCCTAAGGCTTCATGTACCCATATAGTACAGACTTAGGCCTTAAAGTACCTACATAGGGACCCGTTTAAGGCCTGAGTATGTACTATAAAGGTACATGGAGCCTTTGGGGCTTCAGAGCGAGGAGTGCCGAGGTTGACGCAAGGCATCGAACAACTGTGACTTCCAAGCAACCCAGAGCTGAAAGATCTTCAGTTAGGGTTTAGGGTTTAGGGTTTAGGGATCCCTGGTGACGGTTTTGGGTTCATGATCCAGGCTTTAGATGTCGGGTAACACTTTTAGGGCCTATAGTAGGGCCTATAGGATCAGGAGTACAAAGAGAACGGAGCCGGCACAAATACATACAGCCCCCTTAGTGTGGAGCAGGAAAGACTCGAAGAAACTACACTAGTGCATGTGCGTGTTCAGTGTGTCCTTCACTTGAAGCCCCTGGAAAGAGTAGCACGAACGGACAACCTTATCAAATCAAGCGGCTCTCTGCAAGTTCGGAACCATGACGGTTTAGGGTTTAGGGTTTAGGGTTCCCTAAACCCTAAACCCTAAACTGTGGCACCCGAATTATCACCGAAATCCTGAGCTCGGCTAGCCTCAAGTTCCCTAACCCTAAACCTTCAAGCCCGGGGTCCTAAACCCCAAAAAAACTACAAGGAAAACACCTGCAACCCGACCGCGCAAAACCCTCAACGCAACCAAAAACACGTGCAGAAATCCTCAACCAGAAAATCCTTATGGCAAATACCGGCCTCAGAGCACCCCAAGGTCATGAAGACATCCTGTGAGATGATGATGAAGGTTTAAGGTTTAGGGATCTATAAGGGTTTCTATAAGGGTACTACTCTATAGTTCGGATCCTACCAGGTAAACCAACAAAGGAGCTACAATGGAGACTACAGGTAGGCTTTGATAACCCTAAGGGTCCAGGTTCTTGCAGCAATTCTCATATACTCTCCCTACAAAAAAGGACTCAACCCAAATACCTGATTACTTGATCCTGTGGACCCTCAAGGTGAGGCTTTCCGAACCCTGGGTTGCAACATGAACAATATAGGGGCCTGTAAAACTAGAAGAGGGTAAGGTATTATAGTGTGAAACGGATGGGTAATATTCAGGTTTCTGCAGGTGTATCATATATAGTATGATTATGGCAAGGCTGGATAGTATTCATGCGTCTACAGGTGTATATCATGGTATGATTATGACAAGGATGGGTAGCACGCAGGCTTCTACAGGTGTATACTATGGTATGATTATGACAATAAGGATGGGTAATATTCAGGCTTCTACAAGTGTATATTATGGCATGAATATGGCAAGGATGCGCAATATTCAGGTGCTAGAGGCGTATATTACAGTATGATTATGAGTATGATCATGACAAGGATGGGTAATACTCAGGTTCCTACAGGTGTATATTTCACGAAGATTATGACAATGACGGGTACTATCGTCAGGGTTGTAAATGCGCACAGACACAAGTCTGTGCGTCGCAGTCAGAGAGGAACCGTGTTCCTCTTAAGGGTATGCAGCTATGCAGCTACTGAAGCCCGTCAGCATAGACCCGTAAATCAAACAATTAATGGACCCTATAATGTAAATCAACCATTCTTTACGGACGGTATCCCTCCTTGCTAAGGAAGCCCAAACATACCAAGTCAAATCCTTCTAGCCCCCTTACCTTATACATCCCTTACTCAACCCTGGTACAAACCTTGTGAATACAGGCCGAGAAAGAAACATTTAAAGCTTAAGCACGCAGTCTTATAGGGGTGCATGACATACTGACTGTTTATTGGAGAGTTTGGGGCTACAGGTGTAGGCTTGCAAGGGGCTCCGGTTTAGGCCTTTGGTGGGCTTGAGGACAACGGTAATTGTGGGTATGGGCTTAGTTGTTGGAGAAAGATCTGCACAGGATTTGTGCGTCGGCTCACACCTTGGTCTGGGGGGGGTTCCGTCGGGCATCTCCTTTCCAACCAGCGCAGCTCGAGGCCACTGAAAGGGCGTGGCCGGGTGGTTGTTGCCGCCGGCGAACGGCTCCCGGCCTCTAAGTGCAGCTCAACATAGGCTGCATCGCGGGACGCTGCGACTCGAACTGCCCGAGCTCAGCTGCGCTGAACGAGGGCTTGTGCCATCCTCAACCGCCTTATTCTTGTCGGCTTTCATCTCCATAAGTAGACGCGCAACCTCCATCTGCCCGCACCGAGCTGCGACGAACAAAGCGGTGGTGCCATCATTCTTGGCCCTATCTTTGTCAGCCTTGGCCTCCAGCAAAAGGCGCGCAACTTCCAGCTGCCCTTCCTGAGCAGCGATGAACAAAGGGGTGGCACCGATGTTCGTGGCCTTATCCTTGTCAGCCTTGGCCTCCATCAGCAGCCTCCCAACCTCCAATCGCCCGTGTGCAGCTGCCATGAACAAAGGAGTGGCACCCATGTTTGTGGACTTGTCCTTGTCAGCTTTGGCCTCCAGCAAAAGTTGCGCGACCTGCAGCCGCCCTTCCTGAGCTGCAACGAACAGAGGGGTAGCGCCGCCATCAATAGCACTGTTCTTGTCAGCCTTCGCCTCCGTCAGTAGACGGACAACCTCCAACTGTCCTTCCTGAGCTGCGACGAACAGAGGTGTGGCGCCGTGGTGCCTGGCCTTATTCTTGTCAGCTTTGGCCTCAAGCAGAAGGCGCGCCACTTCCAACTGCCCTTCCTGAGCTGCCATGAACAAAGGGGTAGCACCGTCAGCCTTGGCTTTATCTGTATCAGCCGCGGCCTCCATCAGTACACGCGCAACCTCCAGTTGCCCCTTCTGAGCTGCCATGAACAGACTGGTGGAACCATCTCCATTTGCTTTGTCTTTGTCAGCTTTGGCCTCCAGCAGTAGCCGCACGACCTCCACTTTCCCGCTCTGAGATGCAATGAGCAGAGGGCTCATGCCATCCTCCATGACCATGTCCTTGTCAGCATGGGCTTCCAGCAGTAGACGTGCAACCTCCAGCAGCCCTTCCTGTGCTGCAATGAACAAAGGAGTGATGCCATCGTTGGTGGCCTTGTTGAGATCGGCTCTGGCCTCCAGCAACAACTCGACAACCTCCACATGGCCATGTGCGCATGCCACCAACAGAGGGGTTGGCTGACCTAAATCTGGGTCTTGAGGCCTCTGTAAAATAGCCTCCACGGTGGAAGCAAGGCCACTTCCAGCAGCATCCCGGAGCTCTTTAACTTGCTTTTCGGATGCAGGGCTGAAAGGTATAAGCACGAGCTGCGCTTCGCCTTGTCGCAAGATGTGATCATCACTGACATTCGCAACTACACCGTCATGGAAGAACACCAGCTGTTGCCTGAACCTCGGCTGCCCGCACAAGCTGTGCAATTGTTGCTTGAGCACCATGACAGGCGAGCTCCCTGCGGTGAGCGTAGCCGCAAAGCTTGCCAACTCAATCGTGACAAGGCTTTCCCCCGACACCGAGCGAACGTGCAACATCAGTGGCACTAGGCATGTAGGAGTTTTCCTTAAGTAGCAAGGCGAGGCATCTTCTACTTCTTGTCAGGAGCGTTGTGAAGGGTCGGTCAAGCTGGGATATGGTAAATGGGATTGATTCAGGGTTTGCAATGATAGCTAAGCACTCACAGCAGATAAATGAGCCATCTGGTTTGCTCAGCAGTGAAAGATCGATTTTATGAATGCCTAAAACCTCCAACTAGACTCGAACCTGGTGTCTTCGCGCACCGTAGAAACGAACAAAAGCACCACCACGACACGAGCCGACAATCGTAGCAGGGTAGTGCTAGTTGTCGTCGTCGTTCGTCTCAACATCAACAAAGCAGTCGTCTTCGTTTTCGTGCTGTTGCCACTAGCGAGATAGTCAGACTAGCTTTACTAACAGTCGGAGCAAAGCAGCAGCAGCGGCAGCAACAACTGAACCTGCAATCTCGTGAACAAAAAGAAATCCTACCCCCCTCAGCCCTAACCCTATCCCCCACACTCTCCCTTGTAGCCCTCAATACGCCCCGGAAAACCACGCCTTCGCTTGAAGTGCCGACCGACCTTCGTGCACGGCTTGGGGAGATAAACCCGTAAATGTCTGTCGATTTATCGTTCCCCTATCCATCCTTCTAGCCATCTATCCATCCATCCTTCCTTCTATATGTATGTATGTATGCATGTATGTGTGTATGTATGGGTGTATGTATGTATGTATGCATGCATGCATGCATGCATGCATGCATGTATGTATGCATGTATGTATGTATGTATGTATGTATGTATGTATGTACAAATGCATGTAAGTACGTAGGTATGTATGTATGTATGTATGTATGTATGTATGTATGTACAAATGCATGTAAGTACGTAGGTATGTATGTATGGTAATACTTATATTTGGTACATACACACACGTATATATATATATATATGTATCATATGTATGCATACATAATCTCGATCAAGTAGTCTTATGGTTGACTTCATCTTTCCATTCAACGAATCCATTGCAAAAACCAAGGCATGACCCCTCAAGGTTCAGGTTGTAAAAACTCCACGAAAGCTTGATCCGCTTGGATTTCCGTTTCTCACACCTCCAACGCAAACCTAGGGGCTCAGTACCCTAGACCACCTTTCGAATGGCAGGAGTTCATTCCAAGAAGGTTGCATCAACCCGGCCCTAGAACATAAGTTTGAAACTTAAACCATCGGCCGAACACCTTACACCCTACACCCTATTCTTCTCCCACTGGGCTCAAGTCTGGCCAGTTTCATACGATGGAAGGGTGGTTGATCCTGAAAGAACCTAAGCCCTACCTATAGTCTCCGTTGTAATTCTGTTTTGGTTCCACCGACACTATAGCTAGGATCCGATAAGGTAACCCCAAAAAAACAATAATGGAGACTATAGGTAAACACTAAGCAAATCTAAAATAACCTTAAATCATTGCCCCCCCTCTCAAAAAAACACTCTTATTCTGGTGTTTCCTCGTTATGGCACCTTAAATTATACACCCCCAAAAAAAACCTCTTATGATGGTCTTTCCTCACAATGGCACCTTAAGCTAAAGCACTCAGTGACCGACCTGGGGCCGTGAAATATCGCGCCACGGCCTCGCGGCAAACGAGGCCTCAACGGTTTTGAACCGGCGGCTTTGGGTTTAGGGTCTAGGGTACTTGAAGGGTTCCTCTAAAGCTTAGTACGCAGAGAGGTACTGGAAGGGGTTCTCGGCTTTGGGCTTTCGGAGTTTAGGCTTCCGGGCTTCCAGGGTTCAGGACTTCGGAGCTTAGGTTCTGTCGGTCCTTTGGACGGCTTGCACTCCGCCCTTGCTCACGAGCTTAGTGTCCTTACCATAGCGAAACAAGTCCCATGCCTTCCTTGACATACCCATTGCTGCGATTGAGCCGGAATCTGATAATCAGCGGCCAGTACTTGTTACACCTATAGCACAACAATCTCACAAGAACAGGAGGTGTCAGAAAAAGAAGCAGCAGCAGTTATGGGCAGATAAGAAGTTTTACACACAGGCACAGCGCACGCAGGTGCGGACTTTCGTGCGTAGGAATGCAGAGCGACCTTGGCACGTGCACATGATATCTCGTTGTGAGCACCGAACACATAAGCTTCAACTCTCGTCGTGGAGTATGGGCACCAGCGTACAGAAAGTAATTGCGCATGCAAGCCAAGTAGAACAGCTTTACAGCCCAAGGGCTGTAAACCAGGGGAGAGACGGAGAGAGAGAGAGAGAGATTTATATACATATATAGATACATATATATAATATATACGGACATACATACATAATAAGACACAGACAGAAAGATAGAGAGAGAGAGAGACAGCGAGCGAGAGAGCCAAGAAGACGGACATGCACCTGCAAATCCCATTCTGGAGCCCTGAGCCCGAAAGACCCTGAAGCCCCAAAACTCAGCATCACCCGCGTGTTCTGCGTCTGTTCTCGTCCAATTACGACTCCTGCAACATGCGTGCAACCTCCGGATGTCCTCTCTTAGTTGCTACGAGCAAAGGGGTAGTGCCATCCTTCTTAGCCTTGTCCTTGTCTGCGCTGGCCTCCAGCAGAAGGCGTACCACCTCCAAGTGCCCTTGGTCAGCTGCAATGTATAAAGGGGTGCTGCCATTCTGCGTGGCCTTGTCCTTGTCTGCACTGGCCTCCAGCAGAAGGCGTGCAACGTCCAAGTGCCCGTTCACAGCTGCAATGCTCAACGACGTGGTGCCATTGTAAGTGGCCTTGTCCTTGTCTGGACTGGCCTCGAGCAGAAGGCGTACAACCTCCAAGCGCCCCTTCGCAGCTGCAATGTATAAAGGGGTGAAACCATGCTCTGTGGGCTTGTCCTTGTCCGCGTTGGCCTCTAGCAACAAGCGTGCAACCTCCAACTGCCCTTCGCGAGCTGCGATGAACAAAGCGGTCTCGCCATCCTGCGCGGCCTTGTCCTTGTCCGCATTGGCCTCCAACAGAAGGCGCACCACCTCTGTCTGGCCGTTCTCGGATGCCTGGAACAGAGGGGCCGGATCGCCCAAATCCGGGTCTTGCGGCCTTTGCAGAATATTCTCCACTTCTGATGTCAGGCCATCTCTTGCAGCATCCTGAAGCGCTTCCACTTGCATGTCAGATGCGGGGCAGAAGCTTAGAAGCACGACCTGAACGTCGCCAGGACTTAAGCTGCGATCTTCATCTACAAGCACATCATTATCCCCTTGGGCAAGGAATACCAATCTTTGCCGGAACCTTGAAAGCCCACACATGCTGTGCAAGTGCTGCTTCAGTGCCCGGACCGGATGCATGCCAGCGGGAATCGTCTCGAGAAAGCTCGCCAAGTGAAGCGCAACCAGTTCTTCACCCGACGCTGTTCGAATCTGCAGCATGGCTAACGCTAAGCGGAAGGAGGGGTGAACTCTTAAGAACAAGCGCTGCTGCGTTTGCTCTATCCTTAGAAAGGCTTGGACTATGCCGCAACAGGGGTGATCCATGTGCTACACCCCAACAAGGTCCGCTGCGTTGGAAGCGCGCGTAATACGGTCCCTTGATGATGTCAACACGTTTTTGCTGGCTCTGATACTATTGGGTAGCGGGCTATATGGGTACGCTATTGCTGAATATGTTCCGGTCTCTATATGGATAATGTGAAACCATGGTCCCTTGGGAAACCCAATGTACTTCTACCATATAGTTTGGGATCCGCCAGAGACCTTAACTTGGACAACCACTCATATTAAGATGTTAACGTAGGGGCCTCAGTAATTAGAATAGGGTTTTGGGGGTTCCTTGTTATAGTTATAATATATAATCTATACCCCCAACCCCTATTCCAATTATTAAGGCCCCTATAGCAAGTCAGGCTCTGTGCCTCAACCGGGCCGGAGGCTGGAAGATCTGCGGTGCACTGGTACAAGCCGAAACTCAAAGCATCCTGAAACTGAAGCTTTGGGGGGACTCCTGAAGGGTTTAGGGTTTAGGGTTTAGGGTTTAGGGAAACTCAAAGCATCCTGGCACGTAAGCTTTGGGGGGACTCCTGAAGGGTTTTTTTGCCTCCTACTTAGCAAGGACGAGCCCGCATTGCAGGGTACATTGACGTCTGAGAGAATGCACATCAAGCCTGTATTTCAGCCTGAAGGGTTTAGGGTTTAGGGTTTAGGGTTTAGGGTTTAGGGTTTAGGGGCTCCGGAAGGGTTTTAGGCTTCCTTTGAAGGCTCTACAAGGATTCCATTGTAGAGGCCTGCCGTGCCATTGGGGTAACCTACAAGGGCATGAACAATTTAGGTGAACAGGCCAAGGTTCTGCATTTTGCGGGTTTTGGCTGGTTAGGTTAAGTATATAAGATCTTTCAGGGCCTAGCACTACTGATCAATCAACCCGGTATACTATAGCCGCTATAGCCCAGACCCTTTCTGAGGAGGGGCTGCAGTGCACATGCCAAACCCTGAATAGCTGAATCCCTAAACCCTAAACCCCGACCCTAAACCCAAAACCCCGACCCTAAACCCTAAACCCTGAAAAAACTCGGCCTGAACCCTGAACCCTTAAGCCCTGTACGAAACATGCCGTAGAGTCCTTTACGGAGGTGGGTTCCATGATCCCTCCAGAATACCGCTGGGGTGCTCTTTAAAACTGCATTCAGTCATGGAGTCCTAGGGCCCTAAAGGCCACGGTTTAGGGTTTAGGGTTTAGGGTTTAGGAAACCGGATTAAGGACGAATAGTGCCGGGATTCCCTAGACATTACTCTTAAGGAGTGAGGCTATTGGGCTTCCAACTTTTGGGCTTCTACTGTAAAGGCCCCAAACCCTAAACCCTAAACCCTGAACCCTGAACCCTAAACCCTAAACCCTAAACCCTAACCCTGAACCCTAAACCCTAAACCCTAAAGGCCCTAAGCCCTGAACCCA